TTCATACTGACTACTGATACTGAGTAATGAGAATAGAGAGCGAGAAGATAAAAAGCTGAGTTGCACCATCGTAGGTGGATCGGACGTATGGGTGGAATCACGTCGCTGATTCCTGTGCGGTGGCAGAAGATTGCAGCTACACTACATCTTATCCGAGTGCGATAAGCTTCAGGGAGTTTCAGGGAATCTCTTAAATTCCGACACTGATTTCACCTCAACTAGCAACTCCAGCCATTTGTTCCAATGTTACACCATGACGCTCGAAACATAGTGAGCCATGTGCTTTAAATCCGGTACCACTAGTTTGTACCGGTGTCCGCGTCTGCTGCTTGGTGCGCAAACGTGCAGCAGCGGCTTCAGCATAAGGGAGTGACCCAAGTGCAGTATCCGGTGCGTCATTATGAGACTAACTCGAAGCCGAGGATATAACAGGGTACAAAACTCTAGTCTCCCACATTGGTCGTCGTACGACATACCCCGTAAACTGGGAATGAGCCTGATAGCTACATGCTGGACTCATTCCGGTCTTTGCACCTAACCGTGATTGGGCAATAGACGGCTGAGCAGTACTCAAGCACTGGCCTTATTATGGAAGAGAACAGACGGGTGGCAATCTCTTCAGACCAAGTGCAGAAGCTATGTTTAAGTGCCTAAAGCAGGCGTAGTCCATTTCCGCACAGTCTGTTCGTGTTGTCGACCGACTTCAGATCACAGCGTGAGAGTACGCCTAGATCCTTTACGGAACTGGCGGAATGCAGCGGGTGGCCGGCCGGGGTGTAGGAACGCCCATTACTACCCCTCCCAGGCTCATAAACGAGGACTTTGTCGTGTTGATCGGTAGATCAACTTCTGCAGACCACCGGGATAGGCGGTCGAGGCCCTGCTGAAGGATGTCACAGTCGCCGGGAGAATCAATAATCCTCCAAATCTTCAGGTCATTGGCAAATAATACTCGGGGTTCCCACTCTGGCATAGTTCAAAGCCCAAGTTGACCGTGTACTTCTTTCGCTGCATCATCTTATATGAATCATTACCCATGGATAATCACAAGTGTCTAGCGGTCAAATCCCTTTTCGTTCCATTTTTCACCTCCTGTCTGTGTACACCAGAAGGAGACACGATTTTTACAAACATCCTATTTGCCGTTTCCCCTTATGGATTTACCTTGAATTTACAGCTTATACTACGTATACCTCAGTGAGTTAACCGGTTTAAACCCAATTTTGTTAGCAACTTTCTATATTTTATTGTTTCACCATAAAGATCCTTCAGGACCTGTTAAGAGTTACTCTTTTACCATCAACAAGCATTGCTTTGCTGTTCCATTGTACTACTGTGCTACAAACCCGCCTGATCTTTAGCGTACATCGACTCCATATGATCCATGTATTAACCACCCGGCCTAGCCAAGCCAGGTGTGAGTGCCAGGACAGATTGTCGATCCACGGGTACATCGAAGACTATCGATTGGTTGCAGACCGCTTGACGTGGAAGTTTGAGTGGGAAAAGCGATATCCTGCCCAGCGCGACCCTTCCTGATGCCACTGTATGGTAATTTCATTTAATTTTATGGTTGGAATATGTCTAACATATCATCGATCGGCTGTGGAGATGGTTTTGATCGTTGATGTGTATATTGTCTGTGTAACGCTTACGACGTACCGGTGCACTCTCTTTTTTATCTTCAGACTTCTTATCACAACATCTTCACTGTGCTTTCTCCTAGGGAAGGCGTACTGGTGTTTACCAGTTACGCTATTGTTGCTGCTATCCCTTTGTTTTTCTGAGACAATTTATGCAACGTTTTGACTGGTAGGATAGCAGTGCATATTGCCCCAAACCAGACAGAATTTGGTCTTCCATTATGCAGCACGGTCTCATTTGTTGACAACGCACTCAGGATAAAATAATTTAGGCAATAAGAACATGGGATTCCTGGTCTGATATTTTGTTGGTACTAACTAAACACAAAAGACCTTTCCTTCAGGTAACATTAGGCGCGGCATCTTTTGACAACTAGACGTAACCCATTATAATTTGCCATCTAGCTACTCTCCAGTTCATTCTCAATTAATATACTATACTTTTTTTCGACCCTAGTGGAACAAAGATAATAGTTTCTATATAATTTTAGGTAATTCGGAAGATATCATCCAGATTACTAGGTGACCGCATGGAAGTGACGCAAGTTTTGTGTCGTCAGTTATAATACCCTGTTCAGATAGTCTTGGTGTGCTACGTAGTCACCACGTCTCTGATTGCTTTCTATGTCTTAAGAACATCACGGAACAACAAGCAATTTAAGGTAAGCACACTTGTGTGAACTTCCATGTAAATTATGAAAGTATTGGATCAAGTAATGAGCCATGCAGCACTTCGCATTAAATTCCAATTAGATCGTATACAATGATGCAGACCATCATATTCAGACGTCTTTGGAGCAGAAAATTAGCCGTGTGCTATCTTGGACCGGATCACTGATTCCTTAGCTCTGAAGCGTGTGAAGGAGTAATCGGTAATCCAAACGATTGAACACCTTTGGGATTTCTACTTGAACCGCATCAACTCTCCAACTGGGATCGACGCCTTCAGTTCAACTTACGCTTGTTGTTAGCAAATTTTGGTTCCTATCAGTTTCATGAGGAATCTGCTATGTTTTGATAAAGGGATGCTGCATTTCTCCACATAACCGATGATAACTGGGACCACAGTGGCCTCTATGGCGTTGAAAAGCACTGAAAGATTTCTTTCGGAGAGTGATTGACCGGATGTGCACGACACCTCTCTGTATCTGGGATTGACGACGCCGTGTTTCTGCATCATTGGAACGTGCACTTTCTGAAGGGATCGATGGTTTAGTTGAATTTAAGGCAGTTAATTTTAGTTCCTTGGGCGGGTATAGTCAGTACCACAAAAAGTACACATGCGACAGCCGTCACATCAGCGCATTTGCAACTGTAATTTCTGCTGGTGGTATACTCCTCTTGCGCAGTATAGCAGTTGTTATTTGAAAATGAGGAGGAATCACTGATGCAAGAACATGGCTACTTTCCCTGCAGATTGTGTTTGTTCACATGACTTAAGTAGCGCGAAAACGCAGCGCCTCAATTTAAGGAATTTTCTGACGTGTTTTTTAATAATTGTAGTCAGAACAAGATGTAATGGCTAGGCCCTGTTGCTACTTTATTGTATTTGGACGCTGGTGAAGGTGTCGACGCGACCTACTTGGATTTCACAAAGGCATTTGACCGTATAGACCATCGCGTTCTCCTCCACAAACTCCAGAAATATGGAAACGGCGATCCTTTTATGGGCTGGATAGAAGACTTTTTTGTGCAATGTCATCTGAATGTGAGGGTTAGAAGCAACTTGTCGGAATCCATCGGAGTTCAGTGCGGCGTACCTCAAGGCTCGGTACTTGGACCCCGCCTGTTCCTGATTTTCATAAATGATCTGGCGAGCGTGCTATCTTCTGTTTGCTATTTGCTGATGATCTAAAGGTATGGCGTACTATAGCTGCAGTGGAGGATCACATAGTGTTACAGGAGGATCTGGACAAAGCGTACACATGGTCCATCGAGAACATGCTGCATTTCAACGTCACCAAGTGCAAAGTTCTCAGTATACGGCACAACAGTATGCACAACTACCGCCTAGGACCACAAATTCTACAGCGGACTTCTCACGAGTGCGATCTCGGCGTGATAGTTCAAGATGACCTCGGTTGTTCGAGGCAGACTGAAAAGGCAGTTAAGAAAGCGAACCTGTACTTCGGCCTTCTTCGCAGAGCTTTCTGGAAGTTTGACCCTTCAGTCTTTTCAAAAATGCTTAGTGTGTACGTGAGGCCGCACGCGGAATACGCTATCCAAGCGTGTCAACCCTGGCTCAAGCACCATCTCACCACGCTCGATACTGCACAACGTAGGGCAACGAAGAGCGTCAGAGGTTTGACCAGCCTCCACTACCCACTCAGGCTGAAGACCCTCAAAATATACAGTGGACGTTATCGGCATCTAAGGGGCGATCTCATAATGGTGTACCAGATCATGAGAAACTCCAACCACCCATGCCATTCCCTGATAATACTCAGTCAAAACATCCCGCTAAGAGGCCACCAGTTTAAGTTAGTCATGCAGTACAGCCGCCTGGAATGTCGGCGAAACTATTTCTCCGCGCGAGTGGCACAGTCTTGGAACGCCCTCCCGGAACATGTAATTAATGCACATACCTTATCCCTTTTCAAACAACGCCTTGACGATACCCTGTCACACTTACACTACGCGCTATAGCCCATGACCACCAGGTGCTGGCACTAATGCACAACAGACAGGGGATAGTGCCATAACCCTACTCGAGCATGAGTCACTCCAAACCCCTTGCACGAAATTTGATAAACGCTACTACTTTAGCAACTGGATTTCTGTATCCTATGGACCCAAGATAGTTGCACACGAGTAAGCGTTGTCCATGTTATCTTTTTTATTGTTTTCTGGCCTATTATGTGATCACTAACCACTCCCCTTATTACTTTGTGTGCGTACATTCTCATTTCAAACTCAGTTTATACGACAGTGCAGTTACATCTGTAAACGCCCGAACTGATTACTCCATTATCGCTTGATCTATCTTTTTTTGTCACGCTAAAAACCCTACGGGACATGTCAAGCACCTGCTTTTTTACCCGTTATAAATCATCGTTCATTGTTCGTTATTGAAGCCATAATTTCATTTGGCAGTGTATGCTACCAAGATTCGGCGCCGGATAAGTTTTGTACAGTTGTCTTAATGAATCTCTCATGAGCGTGTACTACTTCTTCCTGCACCCCATGGGAATCAACATAAATTGGCTGTGAAGCATCAACTTTTGCATACTTAGTTGAACAGCACCGTTACATAGTCGCTGCGTCAAAACGTACTAACAAAGAAATATAAAGCCAGATCAAAGGTAGAGATATAAAGTAACATTGAGTTCAAATGCCTAGTCGCACACTGGAACTTACCAATGCACCCAGTCATTTGTGGAATCCACTTCCCAGTCAGACCGCATCCGATGCTGAAGTTATTCTGTTGGCTGACCGATTCATAACCTTTGGCACAGAAGAAGCGCAGTTCCGCGTGCAGTGCGTAAACCAGTCCATCATGTTTAGTCAGGTTTTTCCATGTATCCGTGGCGTTGTTAACCAAGAAGTAAGGCTCCATTCTGTATGCTTCCTGGATCATTGCCTCCTCATATACACAGGTAGTGGCTGTGGGTTGGAAGTAACAATACACTTCTGATCTAATACAAAAAATTCTAGCCGTCTCATTCAGAGACCTGACAAAATGAAAACGAATCCTATCATTCAGTGCTGAGAAACGTTTGTAATATATCTGACGTTTAGAACCAGCATAATTCTAATAACTTTGTGAGTGAAGACTGCTAGGTGTTCGAGTTGTGGTCGGTACCAGATGTGTACGTCGGTTAAAGTCTGCATCCAAGGAGTATTATGCACACAGTTTCACTTGTCAGAAAGCAACAAATAATTCTGGATTCCGATCTGAAATCGCGTGCAAACTAGTTGAATAGTTAACTTTAAACACAACAGGTTGCATGCCATTAAATGATAATTATGCTGTTCTGCTTTAAAATACCGGGATCGCTCTTGTGATTGAGATTCGCTCTAGCGCGCACACGTGTATGTCCGCCATCATTTCTAAGTCAGTTCCAAACTAGTTTAATGAAAGTGCATTCAACTTATAATGAATATGCTGACTGACGCAAATTTGCAACTCCAGCTAGCATCATAAACCTCCGGAATTTGATGAGTTTGGAGATAATCTTGTAATAGACAATGACAAATATTTTAGTCCATCTATTTTAATGAACATTTATGCAACCATGTTGCACAAGAACAAATTGACATTCATTGGATCCTGACGCATTACGCTTGGATATGAATCTTTTTTGGTGATTATTGGGAGGCAGAAGTTAATTTCCAAAGTGTATCACCACCAGCTAAAACGACCGGCACACTCGATTTACATCTGTGTTATCTAACCAAGATATACAAAATTCCATCCTCTCTCGTGCTATTTAAATTCGCAAACAAGTGGAACGGTATATCTCATTTGAGGACAAAATCAATGAGCAAGCTCAAACTAACGATTAACGGCCAGTCATTCTCTGGAGTAAACTGTCAGATAAACGCATCTGTTGTTAGATGTAAACAGTCCGTGAAAACACCATTTGTTTGTAGCTAGTAGAATACCCGAGTGAAGCCGAGCAGTGGACTGGAAACCCAATCAGCGCCGCTAGCGCAAGTTGGCCAAGCCTACGCAGACCGGTTGAAAAGTGAGGAACTGGTTTTTAGGGTTGTGAGTCGATCACGGGTTTGGTACCGGACAAAGACATGTGAGTTTTCAGCCTGCGACACACCATGAACCGATGGCACCTGATCGACCGCGCTAGCAGAACAGCAGGGCCCGGGGTAGGATAGCAAATCAGCGCCGCTGGATCAAGCTGACTATATTTGCATCGCTTGCATGAACAGCCCAGCATTGGCTCGGATCATTTTAAACTAAGCGCAGCTGTGCTCCAGGCAAGATAAAATGGATCCAAACACGAACAATGAGCGCGAGCCAATGAGCTCAGGCATGCGGCCAGCCACAATGGGCCAATGTAAGTGCACTACAGTGCACTGGTGACTCCAGTTTGTGTACCACATAAAAAGATACTTTGTCCCCCTAAAAACAGATTTTGGTTTGCTTCCCAGTCTTGGTTTAGATAAGCAAGAAAATATGCTAGCTAACAATAATAGGATGGATGTGTTTTCGATAGATTATATGAGTTGTCACCCCGAAATGATTGCGTGATACTCATTACTCACTCAGGCTAAAGGGTCACTCCAGTACTTGTGGAGCTAATCCCATAAATAAAGCTCTTTACTCACCGATCAGTTTACATCGGTGCTAACTAATGGGAGAATATACCGCCAGATGTTATTTTTTAAGAGCTAGTTATGTACGGACTCATCAACTGGTCCACCAATGCAGTTAAGTTTTCAGCAGTCAAAATAGATCATATAAGTTTAAGCCTATGAGAAAAATTGCACTGCGCTACAACCGCATTATCAGTTCGCTTATTTTCTGTTATTCTTGCATAAATGCATTTCATGGTTCAGTGTATTTTGGGGTAAACAGATGTTTGAAAGTATAAACTTATGCCTTGAGCTTAGATATTATTATGAGTCACTAAAAATGGTACAGGACTCTGTCGTAGCATACAATAGGTTGCACCGATACAAGACCGAAGACGTAGGCTATTTTCTTCTGCCCTACAAGTATGAACATGTGGTTTCGTCCCCAGCCAATCGAATATTCGAACATAACATAGAAATTCAGTGACGCGTTTTCTACTCTGAAGCCGGGTTGAAAGCACGCATGCTAACATATGTGATTTGAGCTCGCAAACAAAAGTCCTCTTGCGGATGTAATAATTTGCAACATTACAAGTGCAATAGTGTGGCGACGCCTCGCACCCAATAAAGGATCATCAAATCAGATGACTATTTTTAGTTGCTCAACTTCAATTTACATCCACGGGCCATGGGAGTAGGATATAATAATAACATTAATATCATGCTAACATCTTAATACAATGTAGGTGGTAATATTACATTGCCAGAGTTATCCTAAAATGTGTCCACTTTAGTGATAAAATATGTTTCTTGTTGTTTTGTGGAGTCATACTGAATGTTAGGTTTAGCCTGTAGCTCCATTCACGAAAACAGAACACGCAGACAGCCTAAAGTTGTGTACTGGAAGCGTAATACTTAACAGTGCCCAAAACTGCCGAGACGTAGAACCAATGCATTGAGGAAGGTTCAAAGCCCCTCAATGGAGTATCGGTGCTCACAATAACTACTCAAATATCTTCGTGACAGTGAACTGCTCATTGAGTGGACGAATTTTGTCGTGCGATCTGAGTGTGGACAAAGATACACATTGTGGTGAAATTTGGTCAATGTCCTCAATTGAACCGTAGGCGAAACAAGTGAACATTGAAAGGGTCTCGCTCAAAATCATTTTCTTTCACGACCAATTTCAAATTTATTTTACCTCATCAGCTAAAGATGGCAAGCAATCGAACCCGGAGTCTTTAAGATTTCACCAGAAATATCTGCCTCAAGTCACTTAGTTTATTGTTGTTTTAAATGAAAGATAATTTTGATTAAATGCGCCCTCATACATTACGTGTGTGAAAATGGCAAGAGGACGAAACCTTGCAGAAACCACAGTAATTAGTTGACTTACCGCCCACGCGGGCTGACTATAAATAATCACCTTGTTCGAGGAGAAATTACCAGCTTGCTTTAACACGAACACGAGAATAATGAAGCGTGACGCCGGCTAAAACATATACTGAAGTCAAGCTGATGTCACAGAATGGGAAACAAGACTACGCAACAAAAGGCGATACGATGGGACAGCGATTCAAAATGAGACACAAGAAAAGAATTATGTACGTGTATATCAAATATTTGCAATATGCCTAGTGTTTGGTTTGAATCTGAGTCTTAAGCGAATGCGTGGACGCGGCACATAGATTTCGGTTTCAAAGAAACCTAAGTAAATATCGTTCACATTGTTAGTATAAGATGCCTTCGCAGATGATAAGAAACCTAGCTTAGAAAGGAGTATATTCTCATAGCTATTGTCATTGATGCGTAGGGCCAAAAGTTACGAAGTTGATGCGCACGATCAGAAACGTTATGGCTTGATGTGGTTAGATTAAGTGCAAACATCTTTGAACAGCTCACCTACGCAGCTCGACGGAATGGGCAGCACCGTCCCGAGATACCCGTAATATTGACCCCTGTCGAATGTATTATTTGCCAGTGAACAGAGGACTTGTTTTTCTGTCGAGCGGTCAGGGTACAAGAAACCAGGACTACATCGAATTGAGATTACGTTTCCGTATTGATTGAATTCGTTGATCTGTTGCGACCCGTACGTCTTCTCCGATTGATGGTTGCGTGCGCTAGAGAGTACGCCATTATGCGGTTTCATATCTTGTAGTTCAGCTGCACTGCATCTGACAGCTGGAAAGAACGGGGGATAAAAATTCTGTACCAAAGGCAAGGACAAATTAGATCAGGATATCTAAGGATATAACTTAAAGATGAAAAAATCGTTTGTAACTAGAATTCGTGAACTGAACAGAGGGTTCGGTCTGTGATAAGGCACAACCTTGCGCAGAAAATCTTTGCAGCATCAGATTCGCTTTAACAGTGTTCACTCTAAACGGCAAAGCAAAGTGAACCAGCAGACCTTGTACGATCGTGCAAAGGAGGCAGGAAACAAACAGAGCAGATTTTATTTCAGCGGTATTGATAAGGAATTCAGGCTAAACGTAGCCTAGAAATGCAAAGCGACTTAGGAGCGCCTATATTGTACATTATCGTTACTTAACGGGAGTATTGAGCAGTAAATGCAACTGAGCCATATTTTGGTCGCTCTTTGAAGTAATGTGCTATTGCAAAGGCCGAATCATGCGCAATCCGATTTCGTAGAAAAATAGCAATATTTGGTTGTGAATGGCAAGTTATAAGCAATGACTTTGCGGTTTAGAATACGCGATGTATGTTATGGGGAATAACGAAAAAGTCTAACGTTGCTCGGTGTGTACGGTGCTTTGTGAGGTGAAGTATAGGAAAACTGCTGAGAACGATCCACGTATAAATGTCTGCATGCTGATTCAGATAATAATTTCACAGAATGCTTCATTGCATTGATCCCTGAAGCTGAGATGTTAAAAGTTAGTCCTCTTGTTAGAAAATACAATCGTTTCATTGTTTATAATGTAAAATTCGTTCCAGGAAACTCGATTAGGTTCATAATAGGTTAAAGGCAAACGGAAAATAGTAATTACAGTTCATGTTTAATTTATTCGACCATAGGGTTGGGAGGTAAGTGCTTGTTGCACGCGTAGATTCCGAAGCATAGTACTCAGTCGATGAGGTCACTTCGATACACGAGGCACTATGCATACGTTCATATTCCGTAGGAAGCTAGGTAATGGTGAGTTAGGGAGGTACATTATCTGTGGACGATACATCAATAAACTTAACCAGATCAATACAGTGAGAAACATGGTATGGTACTTAATGAGCTTCCAAATTCTTGGTGAAATGGATAAGTTGAAGTAACAGCAGATGGGATTTTATATCAAATTGAACGGCAACTGCGCGATCTGTTGCATCGGTCCAGATCTCATCAATTGGGCATAAGATATGCCAAAGGTTTGAGTTCCATACACATATAAGTAATTATGCACAAGTTAAAATTCGATGAACTACTGCAATACAAACTCAGCATTGATCATATATTTTTTGAATAGCTCAAAAGTTCAGGACCATTTATGTTGTTAAACTTCCTAATGTAAATTCCGTTGTCTCATACCTGGTTGTATGTGAGCACTGGTTATGAATTCACCTTTTCCAACCGCCTGTAAGTGACGTAACTTAAGGCTAGATAGATCAAGTTAGGATGATCACGCAGCCCGCCGGTGATGTAATGGAGTGAGTACCGTATCAATGAGTGCCATAAACGCTTATGTGAATAAATTATTATAAGTGGGTATGTCAAAATCTATATCGTTTATAATGAGAAATCTGCGATTTTATTACATAGTTGGATGCACTGCTGGTGAATTTTGTGGCAATTTTTCCTTACTGCATTCGCTAGTTTACACCTACGGGGAAGTCTGTCTTCAAACTATTTGCACTATTTGCAGCAGATGCTGAGGAACTAAACATCGAGGGAGAGTATGACAACTTTTTCCAGATGCACCGGCATCTAACTCATGATCGGCGTTGCAACAAAGTTGTGGTGGACAAAGGATGCCGTTGGATGGAAGACTACACCAGACTCGCCGGTATCAGAGGCTATTTGCACATAGAAAAGGTTGTATACACCAACCTTATAGCCAATATGAACACTGGTGGGTACGGCAACAAATGTAACCCATACGCGGTCTGCAACAATTGTGAAGATGTAACGCATCCACTTTCAGCATTTCATGCCTGTACTGGTGTGTCTAGTTTCATCGAGGATACAACTATTTATTCATTTATTAACAACCGTTCATAGGTTGAATGGGACACTGCAAAAGCTGCCACAATTACATGTGAAGTACGGTCTGGTGAATAGCTAAGGACCGCGTGAGAGGTAGCGAGCACCTGCTAAACTGTGCAATTTAGGCTAATGGTGCAAATGATCACCGGATGCGCTTAAGATTGGCAGTATTTTAATGAATGACTGCTTCCACTGATTGGTGGGAGGCGTTCGAATTGAAGAGCAGGTGCCCGCGGAACTGAAGGATCTTAATATTTTTGTGGCTGTACAAGTTCAGCGGAGCTAGAAATTTCCAGACGATTGTGGCAGCTTCAACTTGCCATGCTGTTTGTGGAAGGTGATTACCCGAATCCTACACTCCCCTTAGCTTCGTTGCACGATTTTTGAGGCAAAACGTTGTCGAGGTACAATGCGGCTTTCGCTCAGACCATTTTATAACCTGTATAGTGTTCAATGCTCACAAGCAGCGGGAGAAGCTTAGTCCAAACATTCTATTCATTGTCCGCCGTCTCCACCTAGGCAAGCAATACCTTGAACATTGATGATTTTGGCAAATTCGGATACCCTGGTAAATTTGTAACTATGTATGAATAACCGTATAATTTTATGCTGACAAAAAAGCATCTGGGTGCTAAAGTTTCGATTGGCTTTGTTATTGCAACTGTCCGTCTGGAGCATCACTTAGACGGTAACTTGCTAAGCATATACAGTTTCAGGTGAGTACACTATTATGTGAAACAACCATCCTGGAGCTGTCGTTTGCGCACATCAAGGGTGAACCACAACGTACAACGACTGAGCTCGATTCGACAGTAGGCAATGTTTGGCTAATTTGCAACATAGGTAAGCAACTATGTCCCTTTCAGCAGTAATCAGGAGTAGAATCCACGTGCTTCACGTAGATCAGGATTGTTGACAGGGTCATCTAGCAATAACCAGGCCATTGTTAGCTCAGTTGTACACTGCTGACGAATTTGCGGATAAGCCTTGAGCTAGGCAGTCTGGCATCGAAGGTAGACGTAGGTTTCTAGAACCTGAAACGTGGAGTGTGAGAACTGTCAGCTGACCGTTGCGACCAAACTATTAGGGTACAAGTTCTTGGTGTTCTCCTTGTTTCACTACTGCAACGAATATTGGACATACGGTAGCTTAGGCGTACCCAACAACAATGCCGGTGCCGAATTCGGACACTTACTTGATATGACAAAGCACCAAAAACTAACGCCCGCAGCGGGAATTTGCCGCACACTCCGATATGTGAGATAAATCGAAACCGTCGGTTTTATGGAGGTAATCAGCATTCATTAATGGATGAAGTATAGTCCAGTGAGCGCATTTAAGCCGGATGTGGGCGGCTGAAACTATGACTTTCGAATCTGATGTGTGCGGGCTTATCACAAACTAACATTACCATCAGGGCTGGGGAAGAAATAGCAGTGGATTGCAGTCAGGGGCGTGTTCATATAGGAAGTACGTCTGTCCGGATATGCGAGGGAGGCACCACGCCAGATACGCAAGTAATGGAGGCTGGTGGAGTCTTACATGTCGACATCATACACATTGTGCTGTAGCACACTCGGCTATGTGTGCTTCAGTCGAACGTTGCAGCTAGGTCATCAACATGTTCATGGGAAAACTATGTAGAAGTGGCGACAAGTAAGTATAAGTTTAGTGAGTTCGTCTGCTTACTATGGCCCATAATATAGTGGAAGCTGCGCTTGTGCTGCACTATTCCTGCAGATTTGCTCAAAAGTTTCTTTTGGGTCTGAGCTGTTGTGAGTTTGACGGCATTTACGTATTTATCTCCTTTCTTTGAATATCGACTCCAAATGCAATTGTTGTACAAGGCGCTGAAGGGCATCCAGCTCGAATAATGACTCAAGTTGACTACCGCTAGCGACAGGGAGATGCGCTGTTGCATTCTTTTGGTAATGGTAATTATAAATTTTGGCCCTACTTAAGATGGAACCGGCTGCTGCCAGCTTTTAATAGTTCAGTCCAGTATTTGGACTAGGACCCGTGCGCTTTGGTTCGGTGCATCCAGTTGTCTTGACAAATGCTACCAAAAGAGCAATGATAATCATACTTCAGAAGTATTGATGGCAGTGATCAACACCACGGCGTACCGTTACGACGGTCGGGAAGGCAGAAGCTGACTTCTAAGTCTACGGAGGCCAGAATCAATATCACGTGTTGCAACCCAATATACACAACGGGTACTCCAAAACCCAATATTCAACTTCTAACCGCTGTGTCAAGCGCTGCTCGCGGAGCACATTGGTCTAGTGATCACGGCGATAGCCGCCAAACACTATGTACCGGGTTCCACTCCCGGACCAGGATATTCCTACCTGAGGAGTCTAAATCAGGAATGCGGTGGTGGGAGAGAGTAACATCGAAATCCCCCAAAATGAATAGGAAGTTGACACAAAACTGAAATTCCCGTTTGCATTGGGGAAATTAGTGTACAAGCACCAATTACCCGGCGAGCACATGCTATTCAATAAGTTAGCTAGCCACTGCTGCAGCCGGTGATGTGAGCCATATACTGGAGGAAAATAAGGACTAGCACAACACCAGCTTACGGTGAGTTCTTTCGTGCGTTGTTGCCAACATACGCTCGGCATTTTTCCCACATCACACATAGAGGATGTGCATAATGTGATCGTGTGGACCAGCCTCTAATCGATTGTGAATTCTAGCTGCATGCCTTAAGGTGTTACCGCTTTCTTGTTTAGATCAGATGTAAGGTGCGTGAATCAAGTGTTGGTGGTGTAGTTCAAGCTACGCCCAGTCACCCTGTAGGGGCATGAGTCTTGGCGTTGTTCTATGTTACCATAATCGTGAAATCAGTAAACCATTGTAACCGACTATGAAATGCTCAGTAGTCTATGATGTGAAAAGCAGCGATGTCACCACAGACGTGTGGAAATTAGAAAGGACAACAAGTGGTAAACATGTACTACGATCGACCACGAGCCGTTTTAAGTGGTCTAGAAAATTCACCTAGAGACACATGACAGACGTGCAATGCGATGAACCGTTGGGTTGAATATTGTGCACAAAACAAGAACACGTGAATTACTAGCAAAAAGGAACATAAGTTTGAAGCAATGTTAGTTACGTACACATCAACATGGCTGTCTTCGTGGAGAACCCGTGGACTCCAAACAAATATGGAAGAATAAGCAGGGTAAATCGAAAGCCGAACGACTTTCTAACAACATTGAGCTTCTCACTAAACCAGGAATTTTAATGACCTACCAACGCAAGCCTGATAATTAGCCGGTTGCCAAATGCCTTTCGCCAGACTGAGATCATCTTGTCTACACACCATACTCGTCTTTCTAGTACTCTGGTTCTCGTAATTCACGTAACCCTGAACGCACTCAAGTGGAACCACGTCCTCGTAATTTCGGATAATATATTCTTTTCCCGCATCTGGTATGGGTTTCTTGACTACGTGTTCCAACAAATGTGGATAAAGGAGGCATCGTATGGCTGAGGGGGAAAGCAGGGAAAGGCAGAGGGAAAAGTTGGAAGGTCGCCTGGGTACTAATTCACTGTCTCAGCTCTGGCTTAAAAATCTAACAGAATTTCTTTAACCGAAGTACGGACTGGCTAGGTTACTGATGTTCAGGTATGCCGTGCTGTTACTGATTTCCTTGCCGAGTACTTTTGCTTGGTTGTACGTACATAATTATCAACTGGGCCAACGCTTTTCAGGCGTGACAAAGAACGACGAACAAGGATTTATAAAAGGTAGAAAAGCGAATTCTTGACAAGTCCTGTGGGACGATCTAAATGGGAATTATAAAATGACTGTTTAAACTGACAGGAAAAGGGGAAATTCTGGTTTGAGGTGCCTAGCAAAGTTATTCACATGAGCACATACGCTATTCTGCTCGCAGCTACCAAACAGAGAGGGTTGCTGAGCGAACTATTAGCGTTAACTCCTTTCGATAGAAATGGATAAGGTCACTTAATCTCAATGGGATAGAGTTTAATCCAATCGCATTTTACAAGGCGTTAATGTGCGGGTAAGAATAAACTTTCCGGATCCCCGAAGAGAGAAAATATTTTGTTTGCAATCAAGATGTCTTGGTGTGTGATGTGTTGCCTCTCAGGTTTTTATTATCTGTGACTTTCAACAGAGTTCGACAGGCAGGATTGGAGTCATGAAGTATTTGACACATCATAATAAGGTCTCCTCTCATGTATTCACCTAGGGCTTGCAGTCTGCGTTGGTAGGAGAGGTAAAACAATCCTCTAACGATTTGCTTTGCCATATGTTGTGGAGCTGTGAGCGGAGCAGCATCGTGTTTACGCCAGCGTCACCAGGTCTGAATCGTGCACTTCACGTGCGACCTCACGTAGACGTTCAGCATGTGTGGAATATTAACTACCCGAACTTTCGGAACGCCCTTCTCAGGATACCAAAGTGTTGAGTGGATATTCGCGATGCCTTCCACGCCTGATTCTAGTGGCCAGCGTTATCCTGTATGATTATCCCAAGGGTGCCTTTCTGCATAGCTTGCTGCAGCTGCAGCTCTCCCGGCCAATATTCATAGGTACACTGGTGGCGTATAGTCAGAACTTTGCATTTCGTCAAATTAACTTGGAGCTGGTTTTCAGAGGGCCATGTATACGCTCTGTCGATGTCTCTTTGTAGTGCCGCCTGGTCGTCCACTGTCTTGATCTTATGCCATATCTTGACATTGTCTCCAAATAGTAAGATGTCTGACTATCATCCTAGCGAGATTGCTGACGAATACTAGGAACAGACTTGGCTACAGTACTGATCAATCTGGTCCACCACACAGGACTTCAATAGGATAGGAGATGGATCTGCGGACTTACACATTCTGGTGACGTTGAATGTGGAAGTTGTTTATCCAACCTAGCGCGGGGTCACCGATTCCATAGCTTCGAAGTTTGTGAACAAGTATTCGGTGGTCCAGGCGATCGAATACTTCAGAGAAGTCCAGGTATACGACATTAAACTACTTGTCTGATATCGGTTGACTTCGTCCAGCCTGCTCGGGCTGGTAACAAGTTCGTGGCGCAAGACAGATTTTGGCGGAATCCATGCTGTTGTGACAATATGATTTATTGCTCTCTGCAATTATTTCTCACTTAACTTTGGATGACACTGGGAGGAGGGCAATTGAACAGTACTTATAAGGTTCCGCACAATTCCCCCTCTTGAAAATAGGCTTAAAGATTCCCTGATTCCACATCGTTAGAACCTGCATTCCCTCAATAATTCATTGGAAAAACCGGGCCAGCGGTATGTCACGGTTCATGACAACTTGTTTTAATGCTTTCGGTCTGACATTGTCTACACCAGGAGAACTGTGCACGCGCAATGATAGTGATTTTTTCGTCACATTAGCAGCGGTGTAGAATACGTGGTATAAAGCTGCGTGTCGGAATGGGCTATCATGAACAAGTGAGGTGCCGACTCACTTTGGAAATTGCGAATAAACAGTTGCCGAAGCGCATTCGCTGCATTATGCGTAGTGAGCGCCAGACAAGCTAATGCACGTAACACTGGGATCCCCAGCTGCACTCTCCCGAGCTCGTATACGTGCCTGTATAGCATCTTAAGATTAGTAGTGAATTTCGCTGCTAATTCCTGTTGGTATCTGAGTTTGTCTACGTGGACTACTGGCACAGTGACTTGTCTGGTTAATCTAGGTTTCTCACGTCTGCGCAAACGGATATGCAACATCGGATGATGTTGCCTAGTATGATGGTGAAATGTTTGCGGTCAAAACGTACAGCTCGAAGAATAATACAACACCCAGATTCTGCAGTTGTCGCATGTTAAACATAATCAAAGTCAAAACGATTGGTCTTAAACTTTCCTACACTTATCAGTTCCACTAAATAGAAAGTAAGCTGACATGGTAGAATATCATGGCGTAGTAGCACATACCATTTATAATTTAGGCAAGTTTCTAAAACACCATGCATTAGGCACATTATTCAGTGGGTTGGTTGCAGATTTCTGTGAAATGACTACCTTGTGTTGCACATCGTATACAAGGCCAGCATTTGTGGGTTAAAACCGGAACTACTTAGATGAAAGAAGTTCTATATCTTCTACCCGTTAGCCCTCATGATATACTAACTTTTGAGCTTCATGCATAAAATCGCCGAACGGCAGCATTTACGAGTTCTGTCCGGTCAAAACAACGCAGCGCTACATGTCAGTAAAACGTTGCTACGCTGGGTGGTGACAATAGCTTCCTCAAGCAATTATCACTTTAGCTGAGAACAGTGCGTATACGTTTTTGAAATGTGGGAATACACATTTGTTCCATTACACCACACGCTGAAAAGATTTTTGGATAAGTCAGAAGCAAAAAACAGCCCATGCAAATAATAAGTGCTAAGCCGGAGTATGCTCCAAAAACATATGTGCCACATAGATAGGTGGATCCTTAGAATATCTGTTTATGATTAAGCTTAGGCTAGAAAAATCAACGTTTTCTATCGGGCAATGTTGTGTCCGAAGAGATAAAGAACAATAATTGTAACCAGACGATTGTATGGACGCAATAAGATCAATGCACAACGATTTCAATATATGGCGACATGCATACGAAAGTACACTTGATTTAGCCAATGAGAGGCAAGGATACGCCTAGTCCAATGAATGTTAACCGTCGTGAGTTATCAAAACAAAGCAATGGCATGGGTGGATGCACATGGATACGACATTGTCCCCTTATCTGTTTGTGGGCGTGTAAGCAATTGAGGTAAATAGGATAGAAAGTGTAAGTGACGCAAAAAGACATTTGGCGTTTCCCATCAAAACATAACTGCGCACAGGATCCGGCCGGATCGTCGCAGGTTTCCATTTGTTTGTGTCATACCGTGTGTCGCGGAGGTTTTCTCCTGCCTAAATAAATGTTTTGAAAGAGCTGCAAGCAACCGCCTTGCATTCACTGTTGTTCCATTTGTCAGCCTGTAGGTCCCCGGCGTGAGAACTTATTCTGTACAGGTCGGGGGTCTGATTGTCCTGCCTCCCATTCGAAAAATGTGTAGCTCAACAAGAACGAATGTCCCTATACGGTAGGTTTTCACCGTTCGTCGGTAGTTAGCTTGGTATTTAGCTCGCCTTCCGTATTCTTCTTGGTCGGCGCTTTCTTCGAGTGGGATGACTGCGTTTAACCGAGTTCGATATTTTCTCCATAGTATTAATTCGTCGTTAGAGCGTGAGGTTTGGCTCCAAATACCAGCGCATCGTCCCAAGATGCGCCCAAAAGCTGTAGAACTTGTACTCTTTCAAACTACTTTTGAGACGTTGAACTAGATGATTAGCAGCAGGGTTGTACGGCACAGAACTTTAGTGTCTGATAACATTGCGCTTAGAAACTCGGCTTAGTCAGTTCGTCGGAACCGAGGCCCATTATCAGTGCCTGTATCTTCTGGCAATCCCAACCTAGTGAACATGCAGCGGAGCCAGTAAACAAGGACAGGTGTAGTGGCATTCCCCCCCCCAAAAAAAAAATACAGCCGCCGAACAGTTGCTGTAGAAGTCGGTAGCAACGAGTACGTTTCGTTTCAATGGAGGGGTAGTTGTTAATGGGCCCATGAAAACAATTTCAATTTCCCTCCATGACTTCGTTGGGTACTCGATAGGCTGGAATGGAGCATCCAGCGGCCCTACACTTTCATCAGGTTATTTGCAGATGTGGTATTGCCAAACCATGGCCTCGACACTGGCATTCAACTTCTGCCACTAGTAATATTGGCTTATCCAAGAATTTGTTAGCACGATTCCCGGATGGCCTTCAAGTGCGCATTTAAGCACTGCCGCAATAAGTGTTCCAGATTTAACAAACTTTTCAACTCTCACAATACAATTGTTTACAGAAGACAACTCGTGCCGAGGTATGTAAATTGAGAGCAACTGAAGTGGAATTTTCGTGCGGTTTAGTCTTGAAGTAGCTAAGTATTGATGAATTTTTACCAGCACTGGATCTTTGACAGTGATAGCTCGTATCTCGGCAAGTGTTATTGCCGATAGCGCACTATTCCAGAGGTAGGATATCATCTTTGCTTCTACCAAGACTTCACTCGCCTTTTCATTGGATAGCGGAAGTCTCATATGGTCGTCTGTAACTTGGTTCGAATAGCATGGGACGTAATTAATTCCATAATCATAGTTTAGTAGACTTGGTTACCAACGGTTTAACCAAAGCGGTTTTTCACCTTTGTTACCACGGTTAAGTATGGCACTAAGTACAGAAGGATCAGTGTGCAAGGTAAATCAACTCCGAATAAGTAGAAATGCCAATTCTCACATGTCCAGATTCACGCAAGTGCCTTCTTATTGCTATCGGAATAATTTCTTTCGATGGCGGACTGAGTGCGTAAGGCGTATACCAATAAGGCGCTCATAGTACTCGTGTTTGGTATAAATTCGCTGCTCACTTAGGCTCAGCAAATACGAAAGGGTTCCCATCAGAATCGCATAAAGCACGGGTACGGTGGCAAGCAAAGTTTGGATAGATATTCCCTCTGAACCCTTGAAGAATGCGGATTGCCATCATTGCCTTGACAGGGCTGGCAATTATGAAGCTCCCGTCGACACCTAAAGTGTTGTCACACTGGTAGGTGCCGAGTCTCTCGCAAGCAGATTGCCGGATTCGGTAGGTTAATTAAAACACAAGCTCGCAGTATACCACACTTACATCTTTTACAGCCGAAAATGAAGGAGCAGACGGATACAAAGTGGCTGTCTTCTTAAATTCGGTCCTGCGCTCTTGTTTCGTTCTTGCTTAAGCCCATTTATAACTGCAATCAACCAAACTAACATACATATATGTATACGGTGATCGTAACCCATTGTCAATAAGTTATAAATGGAAACCAGACGTGTCAACCAAAAATATATAGCCCTAGTTATAGCAATAAGCATCTGCGGTGCAGAACATCCGTAGTGAATGAATTCAAACGGATGGCTCACTCCCTTACTTTGGCATTCGGACATATTGTAACCAGAGTATTGAAATAGTGTTGTGAATTTCAGTGGATCCGCAGCACCCGAAGAGGCTCGTTTGCCCGTGCAGTAGTAGGTACCTCGGGTCAGGCTTTGATTCACCAACGGCCCATTGACGAATTCGGCATCAACTGCGTGGGAGATAAATTTCCCTGGTTGACAAACTGCAGTCACTCTAGCTCCCGGGAATGGTTGTTGAGGTGCGAAAAACATGGTGCTGGTGTTGAAATTTCCAGGTGGATCTATGCATCGTGGAACTGCAGGTAAACGGGGTATATTAATAGAAGTATGTTAGAACAAATATCCGACTGTAAGATTTTACTAATCAGAAGTATTTGCATTCAATCGAGAGCTGCCTATCTAAAGTGCAGTGTTTTTGCATGCGTGCAAAGGCGGCGTTTCAATAACCAATCGTATTTACCATGCTATTCAGTTATCTGTCCAACTGCATTTGAAAAGTTTTAGTCGACGATACACATGCATTTTCGGTTGCAAACCATCAACTTGGACTACATGAATCCGTGAGATCGACATTCGAAAAACACTGTATACGAAATGCAGTCTGGTTAAAGGCCGCATAAATTTTACCGGATAGCAAACAGGGCGGGTGATTACTAAGCACGTTTCATTCATCTCATCAAGGAAGCCATCTATTTCTTTATTGGTAGGAACTACTTATAGATATTATGCTATGACAAGTTAGAATGTATCACAACTTAAGTGCGTTGAGGGCTGCTTGTGCTGAGTGTGTAGTTTCAAAAAACTATGCTGATGATCAAGAGTGTATCGCTCTTGCAGACCACACCAAGTGAACATATCCTGCTGGCCGTCTATACGTGGCTCGCAGGAATTTCAGCACTGGTTCATCTTGATTCGTTTTAACCCATTCGTGTTCTGGGTCCACCGGCTACCATCTAACTGTGATTAAACTAGCTCAACTTCTCTATTTGATTGGTACCATAAGGGTATCGATCCACCGTACCCGATTTACCAACTTGCCATCAGTGAAATTCAGTTCATCCAGTTTTCATACTTTGCATTGTCATGACAAAAATAAGTTATAACACTATCGAGAAGGATAAAATTTGGCCAGCAGAGAACTGATGTGACGGGCTAACGTAAATGTGGACAGGATTAGTCGGTTTGCAGTCACCATGGTCACCATGGTCATCAGCATCACTATCGACATCGTCATCATCATCTCCATAAAAAGCAGTACTTCAGCCACTTGAGTTGAATCCTCCCTGACGTAAAGTCACAACGACCTACGGAACAATGAAGAACTGTGCAACAAAACATGTTTTTTCTATAACGGAAAGGCTAATGTTCTCACCTTATAAATTACACTCCAATGATCGTAGAAATGTATTCCGAAGTTAACTAGCACGTCAGGTTACATGCTTATAAGCAGGTGACTATTTTCAGTAATGTCAACACTACGTCGTACGAATTATAGGTAAATGTACTAAATCACAACATATACAGGACGCATGTATGTGGCAAATACGTTTCAAACATCACTGCAACACTCGCCGTTAAATACTGACTGCAACTTGGTACTGGGAAATGATAAATTCGCCAAGACCTTCGTTTGTGTGATCCAGCAACCTCACGCTGCAGAAACCAACGAAAGTCACTCATCATAGAAGGCGTGTACTTGTCACTGTAGCGCAGATCCATGAATAAAATGTCGTGGTGAAAGTGCTCACCATGCTCATCGCTAACAGATCCCAAGTTTTCATCGAAAAAGTTAAGGTGACTGTGCAAAAGTGCATCTTGAGTAACATTCGAGCACCAACACTCCGTTAGTATGCAATGACCATTTTTGTGTTGTCTTCGTAGTTTTCTGTATTTGTTCTGCCCAAAAATTCTGCACACATACGTCGAATACAAGTGGTCAACTGGCATTCGAAAGCACTGCCTGCCATTATCCGACGAATATCAGGCCCAACGAGTATCCCTTCGTTAAGCTTCGCATCACTACTGTTTGGATACACTTGTTTCAGGTATAGGAGCTCAAAACCATCTCGTCTGAGTGCTTTGAGTTAGTTTTTACTCAAAACAAGCTTCATGTCCAGGGGTGGTAGACTGATATGATCAGGTTGTTCAAGAGGTATATGCTTTACACTCATTTTCCCTGCAGCGTAGCCCATTCTCAGTGGCCAATTTTCCGTCGTGTTGTTGTTGCTTTGCCATATTGTCCCATAAACACAAGAAACAGCAATATTTTTTGAAGCCTCCTTGCGTACCCGTTAGGAGTACAATGACTTCGAAGTCAGCACAAATGTTCCAACAGTGCTTGTCGAAGTTCAATGCAGTGAGTATATGTTGCATACTTTCGTAAGTCACCTTCATATTTGTGGCGTGCAACTGAGGCACAGTTGGGTACACATTTCCATCGCGGTGTAGTTTGGCCTTAAGACTACTCTTAGACGAGTCAATGAACAAACGTCATTCAATAATGATATGCTTCACGCCAAGCTTCTTCATCAGTCCTTCCATGTCGGAACAGAAACAAACCTTTCTCATGGGTCATAGAAACCGGACAATGTAACACCGCTTTCTGTATACAGTAACCATAGTTTTTGCAGCAAGTAACTGCCACTGCTGCAGCCGAGATGCCGCAAATTCCGCCTTGCCTTTGGGCAAGCCCAGGTCACGTACCAAGTAATTCAGCTCTGTTTGTTCAATAAGGTTTGGGTTGACAACAACAGCTTCGCAGTTTTTACATGTCAGAAACAGGGGAAGTTGACGATACGGAATCACTACTCATTATCAATGACTTGTTCACCGGAGGCATTGGAATGGGTAAGGTGCAATCATGTGGAGCAGGTCCAATAGTTGATGGAAGATCCTGGTAATAAATTTTCTCCTTGTTTTGGTTGGAGATTCCAATGACGCTTGTTGGGCAGAAGTAGCACTCTGTCGTGTGATTCTTCGGCTCCCTCCACATCATAGGGATTGCAAAGGGCATCCTGCCTTCGTACTTGAGCCACTAAGTCAGGTGAAGATTGCACGACACTCAGGCAATACGCGGCGACCAATTCTTATCCTGATCTTCCAGTTTTATCCTGAAATATGTGTGGTAGACAGACTTCGACAGTGAAGAAATGGATCTGCACTGCGAATTGGAGTAAACTGTCCACAGACGTAACAAAAGTGATTTCCGTCGTTGACACAACAGCGTCTTTCAGCCATGGTCAATATATCGATTAAGTGAACACTGCTCTCAATCGACTTTCAGTATCAGGTGGATACCAGGAGGACTTCTTTCTACAATTACCGGAAGCCAATGGACAAATCACAGGCGCGCATTCAATGCACTGCTTAGCTGAAATGAAAAATTAAAAGAAACCAGACGTGATAGATACATTTGGTTTGCATATTCCTAATCAGCTCACTAGGTACTACTAGAAACATCCGATCGCATTTCTGTCATAAAAATGATGTTGTACAGTGTATTTAGTAGGAGAGAAGCGGGTCCATGAGTGAAACCCAAATGCTCTAAATAAACCTTTAGGGTCAGGGCGCCTATGCTTCGTAAACAACACACAGTCACAAAAAGCCGGCTATTGTGAAAACATAAGGTGGCATCAACGAGGCGGCATCCATGCGGCTTTCACTGCCCGCGTCGTTATCATCCCTTCCCCGCAGATAACTCAACATCACACCCACTGCAGAGAGGTAGTCTGGCTAGGAGACGGCAGCCGACGAGCCACTGGTGCTGAATGCGAGTTATGTTCTTCAACCTCTCGAGCCAAGCACAAGTCGGTACGTGGGCTCCAGCCCGGAAGTCTAGACGGACCAACAGTATTCAGTTTTGCAGTCAGTGACTACAGTTCCCACTGCTGAGTCAACTTTTGAACAACGAACAACGAACAATGGCTTTATACGGGTTAAGGAGCAACGTCTTACATGTTCCGTGGGGTCGTTTTGCAGGGTTATCAGAAAATAAAAGTAGCGGGTTATGTATATTTAAAAGAGGGACTTATCTTTTGTTTAGCTATAGTCTTACGATTGGGTGTAGTTTCACAGCACAAGTATGTAACAGCAAACAAATCCAATTCTGTTCCAAGAGTGGGATAGAGATGTAGTACTAAGTAGCAAAGTTTAGGTGAGTAAGTGAGTCATCAAAAAGTCTTTTAAATATGGGTAGTGATGGTGCAGAAATGACCGACTCTGCAAGAGCAATCCCCAGGTGACACACGCGAACAGAAAAGAAATTCCTGCGGCAATCCAGGTGGCTGTACTATTGTCCAGTTTTAGTGAATGACCTCTCAAGTTGGGATCACTGTTGAGTTGCAGTAAAGTGCGGCACACATGATGTGGATGGTGCAGGATTAAGTGCACCATCAGCAAGTCACGTCGTAAGCGGCGGGAACGTCCGCTGAATACCCCCAATCGTTCCAGCCCCTTCTCGTATGGTGTATTTCAATAACGTACTTTGAGGCTCGACTATGGGCTGCTCCAGTGCACTAAGGTCGTGTTTTAGCCATGGGAGTTAGGCTTGAATTACATATTCGACATTAGGACGAACATACCTACTAAGCAGTTACCGGAAAATAAAGCGATCTATTTGTCCCAACGACAGTCTTAACAGATCCACATGTTGGTTGCCAGTTTTGGAAGAGTTCGCGGATCGCCTAGAACAGGCCAAATCATCCCGAAGCAGCACGTCCAAATCACGTTCTGTGGCAGCTCGCTGCAGCACATGCGTTCCGAGCCTGTAGCAGTGGTTGCTCTGTTGTGGTATGGAGAGCACCTTGCATTTCATCACAAGGAATTGCGGTGCATTTTAGATGAATCACTGATGTACCGTGTCTTGATCACTCTGAAACAGTTGCTGGTTATTATTCCCCTGAACTTGGTGCCAAATCCTGGCGTCATCTGCAAACAGCAGAAAGTTAGATGTAATTGTCTGTGTGGGGTCATTGATAAATACGAAACCAATCGGAGACCTAGCACCGAGCTTTGAGGCACACCACATTCAACTTGTATGGTGTCAGAGAAGGAGCTCCGAACTCAGACCACCGATTGCCGCTGATGGCGATAGTTGGCGATTCAGCTTAGAAGAGGGTCACCGATCCTGTAACACTGTAGCTCGGAAAGGAGTATCCGGTGATTTAGAGGGTTGAATGCTTTCGAGAAATCCAGGTAGATCACATCAACATCCTCTCCAGGATCAGCTGATTAGGTCCAGCTACTTCATGCTATTGGCAAACGTCCTGTGCACGATCGATTTTGACGGAGGCCGTGT